CACCTTACACCAGTTAGAATGGCAAAAATTGACAAGGCAAGAAACAACAAATGTTGGAGAGGTTGTGAAGAAAGGGGAACGCTCTTACTCTGTTGGTGGGAATGCAAGTTGGTACTTTCTGATTCTTTTGCTAAAACTAAAACCATGTGTACCTTGGCAGCTTGTTTAAATAACAACATACTGTAAAATTTGTGGTTCCTTCCCTCTATGGTTGGAAGCTGTTAATAACTCTTGAGTTTATGACTTTTATAGGACCAGCCTCAGAGGGAAATGCTCCCTTCAAAATGTGTAGATGGAACACTTTGATCACAAAGCAACTCCGTATCATGTCTACGCTGTTCACCAACAGAAAGGCAAAAATAACATGTGGGAATTTGCTTTGTGTGTCTTTCCTAACACCTGTTTTCTTGCATTGGAGTGCTGTCACCTTCTGAAAGACTTTTTCTTTGGACATCTGTTTTGGTTACTTACTTTTCGAGAGCCAGTGACTTTCATCTCATACACATCGATGGTGTAATTTGTCCTACGTCCGTAAGTGTCAAATTGGATGTTTCCAGTCATTCCTTGTACTTGCACCTAGTAGAAAGGGAAAATGTAAGCATTTTAAATAGCACCACATTATTGCCTTCTAAGTCTCTGAGATCAGGTCTACTGACAGATCTTAGAATCGTGGAGATCTTTTATCTTGAGTCATTGAGCTAAATCCACCAGATCAGTCTATACAGATCTTCATTTCCTCCCCAGTGTTTTCTAGGTGTGCCTTTTCATTGTGAAGCTTTGAGTGGGTGATAGGCAGTTACCTATATGATACAGTGAAGGCCCTACCACCACTTTTTCAAGGGCCTGAAATTTCTACCATTAGTCTCTTCTTGAGGGAGTAGCCTGAAGGGTATTCTTTTTTTTTTTTTTTTTAAGATTTTATTTATTTATTTGAGACACAGAGAGAGAGAGAAAGCACAAGCAGGGGAAAGGGCAGAGGAAGAGGGAGAAGCAGACTCCACTAAGCAGGGAGCCTGATGTGGGGCTCAATCCCAGGATCCCGGGATCATGACCTGAGCTGAAGGCAGACACTTAACCAACTGAGCTACCCAGGCGCCCCAGCTTGAAGGGTATTCTTTTTTTTTTTTTTTTAAAGATATTATTTATTTATTTGACAGAGAGAGAGAAAGCAAGAGCACAAGCAAGGGAAGCAGCAGGCAGAGGCAGAGGGAGAAGCAGGCTCCCCACCAAGCGTGGATCCTGATGCGGGGGCTCGATCCCAGGACCCTGGGATCATGACCTGAACTGAAGGCAGATGCTTAACCGACCTAACCACCCAGGTGCCCCCTGAAGGGTATTCTTAACTAGCATAATGCTTTTTTTTAAACTATGAGTTCCGTGAGGGATGTGTCTGTGTCTTATCTTAGCACTCCCAATATCACATAAATGGTTTCAATAATATGGGCTCTGGAGCTCCTAGATTCACATTCTAGCTTCATCACTTACTAACTCTATGACCTTCTATATGTTCCTTAATGCTTTTGTACTTCAGTGTCCCAATCTGTAAAATGGGAAATCCCGCTGGTACCTATCCCTCAGAGGTTTTGGAAGATTTAATGAATTACACACGTGTAGAGTTTAGAACAGCACCTGGCACATAGTATGCTTTGCAATACATGCTAGCTATAATAAAATTATTGTTGATTGCAAAGAATTTGGTTCTGTTTCTTGAGAGTGTTCCACATTTGCCAGCTGTCACAGTAACAAAGACGACTTTTTCCTCTTATTTAACTTACGCGCAGCTACAAACAGGTAGCAGTGAGCTAGGCCCTGGAGGAATAAACCACACACTGATGAAATTTGTAAGTCTAAGGAATCAGGGGTATGTAGTACTAGGTAAGAAAGATAGAGGTACTAGAAGAGCCTGGACCCCGATTTGGGATGCCAACTGCAAATTCACGTAGGCCACAATTTTTCCTGGGTCTGGTCCCAGTATTATGAACTAATAAAAGGCTATCTCTGCCGGGTGGAGAGATCTCCTTACCAATTATTTTACAGTCCAGGGACACTGCACGAAAGACCCTCTATAAATAAAAGTCACTGGAATTACTTATCTGGTGAGTAAGGGTCAAGGAATTTGTTTCAGAGAAAAAACATCTGTCTCATTTTCTAGGATGAAAGGATAGAATACTTAAAACTTATAGGAAGTGACAAGCTACTAAGCAAGTCAGAAGTGGTAATGGGCTTGAGCTGCAGGAGGGAAAATTGATGCCAAATATTAGGGAGCATTTTGTGAGAGGAAAGGGGGCTTGTTCAGCCCCAACAGGAAAATGAAATTCCTGTTGAAAGAGAAAAGCTCCAGTGGGACTTCCTGAGGACAAGATGACTGTCCTACTGACCCAACAAACCGAAGCACTACTGTCAGCTCAGGCTTGCAGAGAAGGTGATGTCACACTTCCGGTTAAAGCAAAGGTCCTTTATTGAGACAGAAATTACTTAGCCTGCCTGGTGCATACTGGGATGCATGAAGGGTTCTTTACACTCTACTCTGAGCATTGAGTTCTAGGAGAGGAGGTAGGTCAGGCAGGGACACTGGCATAGGAACTTACTAAGGAAATCCTTCCTTACTGAAAACAGCAAAGGCTTTAAGTCTCTTTAAGAATGGCATATTTCGGGCGCCTGGGTGGCTCAGTTGGTTAAGCGACTGCCTTCGGCTCAGGTCATGATCC